TGATAATTCAGGTTTTATCACATTATCTACTGAAAATTAATTCTCAGAAATAAGGAAAAATATTGATAGCCATCTCCCTATGCAACAGGGATGTTCACTTCTCAAATAATTTTTCATTACCAAACAAACAAAGAATAACTTTAGTCATAATAATATTCTCTAATCTCTTAAACATGCAGTTTAGTTAACATTTTTATAAGACAATGTAATCAGCGAGTTTTAAAACTAGACTATATAAAAGGCATATATAGAGAATGTGGCATCTTTCTGAAGAGCTATTCGAAGAAGAAAAACCTTGGAGGGATGTTTAGGTTAACTTAAGCAATGCGAAGGGAATTGTTGCCAACTATTTGGTAAAACCCTTAATGGTTTTTATATTGTTTCAAGTTATAATCAGAAATGCAATGCTTGCATATTCCCAATAATTTGATATATTTTAATGACCTTTAGCACAGATTATATGTGGCACTGTATCATCCGGAATACCTTTGTGTGCAAAATATGTTATCATTTTTTATTTTTGACCTACTAGTGAATTAACCACCAGCTATATTTTAAGCAATTCAATGAAGACCTCTAGCATCTCTGGAAAATATAACAATCATTTGAGGTGAGATATCTGAGAAGCTTAATTAACATAAGGAAATGATTTTTTAAAAAGATACTACATTTTATAAATAAAGGAAAATTTATCTATTTTTCTCATGAAGTATATTTACAGGTCATTTTATTCTTAAAACAATCACAAGACTTCTGGTTTTTATCTGGGCATATAAGAAGCTTACTACTTCTTTCCTCAAAAACATAAAAAAGCTGAACAAACTGCAAATCAATGATTCTTTTCAGATCTGTCAGAGAATTGAGGTTCCATGGCAAATTACTGCTTCCCCCCACCCTTAAACTGGAGAGGCAGCCAGGCAGATGCAGAGCAATCACCAGAGCAGAAGCTCAGGAACAGAAACTGCTGCTGGAGCCAGTGCCAGGTAAGAAAACACACTTTAATTGATGAAATGCTGCGGGCCCAGTGTGAACATGCTTAAGAGTTAAAAACTCCAGGTGGTGCTCAGTCTAATAGGATTTTCCATACTTTCATAAGTTTTTCACTGGGGGTTCTAGCAGGTTCTCACAGTGGAGATAGGAGAAAAATCAACTTTGTGCTTTCAACAGGGGAGAGGATAGCCTTCTGAAATACAGGGGAAGGGTCAAGTCAAGGAACATGTATGAAGGACCCATGGACAAAGACAATGGGGCGGGGGAGGATTGAATGTGGGAGAGAGGGTGGGTAGGGTAGGGGAGAGTAACAGAAAGAAAAAAAGAAGTACTAAACTTTGCGACAGCATGGATGGAACTGGAGAGCATCATGCTAAGCGAAATAAGCCAGGGGGCGAAAGACAAATACCATATGATCTCACCTATAAGCGGAACCTAACCAACAATGCAAAGATGCAAGGAAAACATGGCCAGCAACACTGAAAGGAAAAGAAATCAACAGAGACAAGAGGGAAGGGGGGGGCAGAGAAAGGGAAGGGAAGGGGAAAGTCAAGGAACATATAGCAAGGACTCATGGACAAAACCAAAGGGGAAGAGCTGAGGGAGGGAAGGTGGGAGGGGGCAAGGGAAAGAGGTGGGGGGTAGGCAGAGACAAATGTATTTAAAAAGTAAATAAATTAAAAAAAAATTAAAAAAACAAAAAAAAAACAAAAACAAAAAAGAAAAAGAAAAATAAGGACAACTGTAATTGAAGAACAATGAAAAAATAAAAAGTAAATACTTCTAAAGAATTTTGTCCATAACAAGGCCTGGCCTCAAGGAAAATGATTTTATCAGAACCTAATTCATGTGGGAGACAGGGAACACCCAACTCCACCACTTGAAGCTTTCTTGTTGCATCTAGGGGTAAGGAGGATAAGAAGAACTTGTAAAGGTCACAGCCCAGAGATGAGGCGTTGGCTCTCTGAAAGGCTGAGACCTAATCATAGGACAGTTGAAAGCTATATCTTTCTTCACATCGTGGGGGCAATCTTTTCTTACCCACATCAATCATAACATGAGATTAGAACTGAAAGAATTGCACTTCTCAGATCTATTTAAAAAGAAGTTTCAAATGAAACACAATGATTACAAGGGAGACCAAAACAAGGATATCAGAAGAAATTTTAGGCTGACGTCTATAGCTCGAATGAACTGTAAACATTGCCTGACTCCTAGTGAAATAAAAATAAAGTCTCATTCTAAAGGCCTATTTATTTCAGTTATTTTTAACCAGCACATGATGTCTGGTTAGAAATATAAAATTACTAGACATACTAGAAGACAAAAAACATAGTTTGAAAAGAAAGCACCCAAATCCAACTCAGATATGGCAGAGATTTTGTGAGTATAAGACTAGGAACTTAAAATAACTGTGATTAATATGCAAAGGACTTCAATAAAAGAGCCTCAACAAAGATGACCAAAATCAAAGCATGCATTTCATATTCTAAGGGATGCTACAATTTGCTCTTCAGGAGCTCACAATATATCAGAACAGAGCAGTACACAAATAAGCAAATATTACATTAGGATATGAAAGCTTCATGCAATGTTTTAACTCTCCCTATGTATTCTGCTGTGACAAATGCTGTGACTCACCCCCTCAGGGAGTTGTCATTTCTTTCCTATGCCCACTGTTTTCATGGTCACCTATACTCTACATGCACACTTAATTCTAAAGCAATCAATACCTGCCTCTAATCCTTCTAATAGCTTTGTTTCTTAAGCATCTCTCAAATTCACCTTTCTGTGAATGACATTGTTTTTATAGACTGTAAATTTGACATTTCACCATGAGACAATTCTTATTATTTTATATCCCATTTATCCAAAACATTAGTTGGGGAAAGGAGAAAAAAAAAATCTAAACTGCAATTTTTTCAGGGATCTTATATATTTGCCATATCTATTAGTTTGTTATACTATTCCTTTTTTTCAATACTCCTGACTCTAATTCATATTCATATTTCTGTCATTTAAACAAAGACACCTTGAACAATTTCTTGATTTTTTTATATTTCATAAAAATATTTGGCTTCTTATTCCAATTAATAATTTACATGCCATTTTTAAGGGTATATCTAATATTAAATGCCTGTATCCTGTTATAACATTAATATGCATAACATTTAAATGTTAAATCCTTTTCCAATAAATTAAATTTTCTCCATCTTTATCTACTCAGTTTTAGAATATAACCAATGCATTAACAAAAGTAGAATACCCTTTATCTTATTGTAGCTTTTTACCTGAACACCATCTCTTATGAAGGTAAACATTTAGGTTTTATTTTAGCTTTTGAGAACTTGAAAGGTTGGCTATAAGAATATCAATGTAAAGTTATATAATTAATATATAAAATTAATTAAATACATTACTAAAATATAGATGTATTACATCTTTAACACTTTCTTCTTTTTAGTAGACTTGTGGTTTTATAAAACTATATTTTCAGGATTTTTACATTTTTAACATATACTCATGGATTTATCCTTCAGGATTGATTTTTCATTAAGAGAGATCATTCGAGTGTTAATTGACTTATATTCCAATATAAAAGAACATATTCTGGGAAATTAACTATTTAAAGACATTTTAAGAACATTCAGCAGTAAATATTTTTGTGTTTAACCAAAACCATATGTAAAAATCATTTACTTATAATTATTTGTATATTATAAATCTAAATATTTACATTTTTATATATCAGGCTTCATTGGTAAGAGAATACAGTTAGATGAAGAAAATATTTCTGTCTTTTTTCTTTCTCCTGACAATTTAAGGAAGATATTATTGTATAACCTGAGGTATCATAAAATTATTTCTTGGCACCCCCACTGAGGTGTCAGAGTGCCTGAAATTCTTACCCAAAAATCATCTCTCTAAGATCACTCAGAGAAAAGAACAAGAAAAGAAAAAATTGTCCTTAGGGAAAGTCAGGATTGGAGGACCCTAAGAAAAAGAAAGATGATAAAGATAATAGTTCTGTTTTATCAGACGGATGAGCCTTAGGAATACTCTTCAAAAGGAAAGGGTATCTGACTTAAGCCAAGGCTTTCTCAAATTTTTTTGTTTAGATGACAGGTATTGACCATTTTTCTGTTTCGTTTTTTAACCACCTCTGGAGACTCTTGCTTCTGACCTTTCCTATGTGATCTTCCAGGTCTGAGGCCTGTCTTGCTCCATTCATACACACGCATCGTTCTTAGGCACTGGCCAGACTTCACCTTCTCTTGAAATCTAATTCCTTAATATTGCATTGAGTCACCTGACTATATATCCTGTCTAATTACTTACCTTTAATCTTTGTTAAGACTCATCTATTTATTAATGATATTCATAAATATATATTTAAAATTCCTGACAGAAAAGTCTTGCCAAATGGTATTCCATTACTATATTCATGTGCTATGACCAGCTCTAATAAAGAATTGTGGTAAAAATAATTGTGGTTCAACAGAGACATATCTACCAATTTAAGTCTGTTTTAAAGTTAATGGAGTTGGGACCAGTCCAAATTTTCCAGGGAAGCAGATTCATTCTCCCTGGACACACAATACTCTGAATCCAACACGGGAAGCAGTGCTATGTCCTTTGGCAAAATAGAGGCTCCGCCAACATCGTGACAACGTTAAGCAATTCCTCTATTGGTAATTCCTCTATTGGTATTCTCCTTCCAAATGCATTAAAACATTAAAGGACAATACATTAGGTCACTTGCACCTTAGTTTGGATCAATTAATGAGAATGCTTTCCTCTCCAAAGGAAAAGCTGAAGGTTTCATGTGATGGATGGACAAGGAAGGAAAGGGAACGCTGAGAAAAGGATAGTATGCACAGACCGAGAGGAGAGGAGGACTCAGTTAACTCATCTAACCTTACTGTTCACCATACAATATTCCATGTATTACTTACAATATTTCAAAAACAATGTAAAGTTTCATAACAAAAAACAATAATAATCCTTACCACAAATCCAGATATGCATAAACATGTCAAGTCAAAGCCAGGTTTACTTTCTATGCGTATATCCTGAACACATGGGCTGTGAATACAAAGTCCCTTTTCACAATGATGTTCTGACTGTCCTGTTAAAAACAATCACAAACAGAAATTAAATTTTAATAATAATAATGATAGTTTATATATGTATATATGTGTGTATATTTGTGTGTGTGTATATATATGTATATACATAACTTATGTACACTCTTACTGTTTGTTATACTTATGCTAGGCCCTTTATATAAATTATCATAATTTATCTTCACAATCATTCTATACAGTTATTACTTCTATCTGCACTTAATAGATGAGAAAATTAAAGTCAGAGAAGGTAAATAATTTGCCTTGAAATCACACAGTTATGCAGAAATGAAATATGAAATGGATATGAAATAAAGTTTTGGCTTGTAACAATAGAGCCATTCTACATTATACATTCAAATGTGTTTACATATTTTACCTTGTGATAAATACATAGAAGGAAATGGAATAAACATATCCTATAGTAACCCATACTTCTTTAATAGGATTCTTAAATTTAAAGAAAAGTTATTGCTACAGATTTCTAGATATATAATATTTTCTTGTAATATTGTACTTGTAGTGTTTTACAGTTAGTACATCTTAAACTGTGGTTCTATAGAATATAATATTCCTGTTCCTACTCAGTAATATATTCTTAACTGTTTTTTCCTTGATAAATTGAAAGAGAACAATTAAATTAGTATTCTGGGGTGTTTAGATATGATTTAATGCAATACTGCATTATAAAAAAATACAGAACAAGTTTAAAAGACTTGGCACCATCCAGATCAAACTTAGAAGCAGCTGCCAAAAGACTAAATTTAGCAAATCCTTGTCCAAGACTCTTTCCAGATTGTAATGCTCTTTCATATGCAGCTGATTCTGTAGCCATCTCTACTATAAAAGGTGTTACAGAAGAAACAGTTTGCAGGGCTTTATAGAAAGTCACTATGACCAGTCCTTAACATGGTTGAATCTCACAAACATATTGTTGAATATAAAAGCATATTCTGTTAAAATATATTTGATGAGTGTTCTAACAAAAGTGAAATACATACAAATTTAATAACATCACTTATATATACATACATAATAAAACTCTGAGGGATAGTAAGAAAATGTTGAATATGAAGTTTGGAATAGTTAGTGAAGGTTGGGTGATAATAATGTGCTCAGGGAGGGATACAGAGGAGCCTGAAATTTTTGCTAATATTTTATTCCTTAAGGTAAATGGTAGGTACACAAAGGGTCACTATATTATTTTATGTAATAAGTCTACATATATTTTTTGATTGAATAAAAGACTTCACAATATATTTTAAACAATTAAAATAATAATATAGTTTTCCTTTTGCTTCAAATACTGTAAAGGACATTACAAAACTAAACCATAAGATAGGAATGTGAAAGAAAAAAAAATTACCAGACCATTTAAAAAAGACAAGGAAGACATTATTCAAGAGTATTATAATAAGAGAGAAAGAGGCTATTCAAATAGGGGAGAGAGATTGAATTCAACTTCACTGAACCAAAGGTAGGTGGGGGGGGTATTTAAATGCCAGGGTGAGCTAATGGAAAAGTATTGGGGGATATTGGGCCGGGGCAGGGGGATCGGTTAATGCGCTTAGCCATCTGTGTTTGTTAATTGTCACTTATTGACATTAGGCTTCTGCTGTCCCACAGAGACTGGAAGAGAGGGGCACTATCTCCTATGATTATATTTCAAAGGGATGGCTCCCAGTTCCTTGATAAAAACATTTCTGGGCTTTGGAATTGTCAAGAGGTGGCAAGCAAGTTTACATCTTAAAAGGGCAGAAAAACGATTACAATCACACATTTTCTAAAGTAAATCCTGGAGATCAGAGGCCTGAAGTTACGAAGAAGTCTGTCTAAAATTTAGTTAAGATGCAAGAAACTTTAAGGCTATCTTGGTCAAAAACAACAGACTAGGACAGAAAATAATTTAGTCAGGGTTCAGTGTAGAAAACAGAAACTACTCTAGGTATTTAAGGGGAAGGGGCCTTCATAAAAATAATACGATGCTTACAAAATTGATAGAAGGAAAGACTGTGGAAACAGCTCCAAGAACCACAGATATGACTCAGAGATATACCCTTCCAGGATGGTGAGAAACATAAAGGCCACCATTAGAATGATTGCGTTCCAGAACCCATTGTATTATTCGAGGGGAGGCAACCAGCTGATGTTTCTCTTGCACATTGATGTTTCTCTTCTTTCTCCCTCTCTTTATCTCTCTCTAAAATAAACAAATATATACAATTAAAAAAAAGAAATGAAGACAAATAAAGGAATATAAAGCAGGGAAATTAAAATCCAGCAGATAAGATTTTTTAAAAAAGGCTCAGAAGCAGAGAGAAAAAAACATCCTTTCAGTCCCATGTAGGTTTGATATCCATTCAAATACTTAGAAAATACTGTTTGGTAATTAAAATACCAAATGCAGGTATAAAGTAAAGAAGACATTAGGTATCAAATTATATTACTAATAAAAATAACAAATTAGACTAATTTTTAAGTTGATAAATAAAACAAATCCTTAAGTACATCAATATATTCAACTGTAAACACTGACTGTGCTTTTTAATACCACCATTCTCTGCCATAACATAGCAGTTATAGTAGTTTGAGTTTATTAATGAAAATAAAAGTCACTATTTTCAAAATTTATATATTTTATTTTCCTTTTATTTTCCCTGTTAGCACCAAGTAATTTCCATCTAATCTGAGGAAAATAAAATAAAATAAAATGAAAACTAAACCTAAAATAATTCTGTTCTACTTGCTAATATATTATCTTGTAATTGGATAACACGAATTAAGATTATTTTATTGGGTTTAGTCTAACTCTAAGCTATATAGAAGAATTGATTTTTACAGCTAAATCTCCATGAAAATATTAGTATAGACTTTTAATTTCATAATAAAGATTATTTCACTTTTCATGGGTCTTGATTAAAAAGAAAAATCATTCTGTGCCTTTTTGTTCTAAATACAAAAGTTCTATCCAGGACTTAATAATTGTGAGCACTCCTGGCAGATATTATCTGTTTGTTTCTCTTCTTCCTTGACCCAAGGACAATGCAGCATTTATGCTTCGAAATGAGTAACAACATTTTAAGAGCAAAATGTGTATCTGCAGTTTATCCTGTCACCTATATAAACACTATTCCATCCCTCCGGAGTATAAAAGGTGGGCACAGTGACTGCCCCAGGGATTGAGAACAACTCAAGGTGAAGTATGCACATTTGCAGTGCGGAAATTGTTCCCTTCACTTTCAATTTGCTCATAATGGGATAAACTGTGGTTTCACTTATTGCGTGTTAAACATTTTTATATAACACTATAAATGGAACTATTTGGGTTAAAACAAAAGTAAGTGCCTCTTATTTTGTGAAATACTCCGAATGCTTGTATTGATACTTCAATGGAAACGAGTTCAGTAGCCATTGCTTCACTATACAGGCAGAAGATGAGCTCTGTAATTAGGGCTGAACTGAACACTGTGCAGGTTGTACCCTGCATAAAAATCTCTCGCAGAGGATCAGTGAGGTCTGAGATCCAACATGTGCTCTGCTTGCCTAGTGTTGTACCTTGTTAGCTCAGAGGAGAGGGTAAAACTATCTAATTTGTCTGGTAATGAAGAAGGGGATGGCTTTATACAAACTATGGCCCAGTGTGATTATACAACATTGGCCAGCATCATAAATGAATTGTACTTTTCAGTACATTCTGAACAATTTGTGAGGATACATTAGGATACTATTCCCTGGATGGGCTTTGATGGTACAAAATTAAATAAGATATAGAGTGTCTTCTAGCTTACTTATATCTAGTTTAAATTTTACTTGTGTATTGCAGATATACTTGGTGAGGAAGCTGACATTTAATTTTTTAAATTGTGTTCTGTTCAGAATATTGCAGGAGTCACCTAGCTCTGTTTGTACTTAAAAGAAGGGAAAAAAAGATAAATTTGCAAATCTTGAGGTACAGTGGAGGAGCCAACCAAGATTATGACAATGGAGAAAGTGTCCTCATTATATAAAGACAAGAGAATTCTGCCCTGGCTGGGTGGCTAAGTTGGTTGGAGCATCAGCTGCTACACCATAAGATTGTGGGTTTGGTCCTGGTCTGGGCCCAGACATAGGCCATAGGCCACCTAGGTTGCAGTTTCGATCCTTGGTTCCTGTGCATGCAGTAGGCAGCCAATGGATATTTCTCTCTCACATTGATGTTTCTCTTGCTCTCCCCTTTCCTCTCTTTCTAAAAATGTCAATAAATATTTTCCCAGGTGATGAAAAAAAAAAAAGACAAGAGAATTCTTGTAATTGGCCACATGATGTGAACTTAAGTAAGCTTTTCACAACTGATAAAAATAGAAAATGATTATAATTTACAATACTTAACTAGCTTAAGGACAGAAGTAAATACCTAGTGAAAGTAAGTTTTCATCCAGAACTATGTAAAGATAATGGCATGATTTAAGCCAGAGCCTAAGAAAGAATTATCAACATTAATTAATGTTGACTAGTTTCCTCCATGGATAAGAAAAATAAGTGCACCAGTATAAATCAACTGAGTCAGCTTTTGTGTCTTCCTATTTGGGAGAAATTACTATAGATTGTTCAGAAAAGCGGTAAATTCTCAGGTTCTGCATATGAAAAGTTTTTAGGAGATAATCAGGCAGATCTGGGTAGGAAACCTTCCTGAAGTAATTTGACAGTGGTGAGAGTTGGTAACATCCAGACTAATGCAACACTCTAAGGGATTGTATTGGTGAAGTCCTTCTTTGTAAAATGATTATCAGTTCTGTTTTTTCCTAATAAAACATTTAACATGATATCTATTTTTAACAATTTTTTAAGTGTGCAATACAGTATTAGTAACCATAGGCACAATGGTGTACAGTGGATTTCTAAAACTTACTCATCAATATAACTGAAAGTTTATGGAAAGTTGTTCTTCAGTGAAGGCCCATCTGTGGGGAACATAAGAAATGATGAATGCACAGCACTAGCCCAGAAATCCTGGTTATAAAGTAAGTTTTATCTAATGTGCTGTGGAGGATTATCCAAAAACTCTGGGACTCCAGGTCCTCATTGGTAAAGTGAGATAATAGTACCTTTTTCACATTTGGCTTTCAAAATCTAAAAATTCAGAATATAAGAGAAAGAACTATTAAACAACAGGTACAATTTCCAAGGACAAAAATGGTAAAGAACAAATAGAATTATATACAAATCAATATACACTGAGTGTGGGGAAAGGATTGGCTTCAAAGGAGGAGCCTGAGTACAATCTGGGGATAGTGGTTACATGACTGGCTGTGGTGGTATTTATACAACTATTTATACCTTTGTCAAAACGATAGAACTTTATAACAGAGAATGTATTCTACAGTATGAATTTTAAAACTTTAAAAAATATAACAGCTAACTATTCTTATAAAGAGAATGGGGGAGGGATAAAGGGTAACCTGCAAGAGCAAACCTCCGAGGAAGGATGGGCTGGCTGTAGAGAGTCCCTGAGGGGAGGTCTGGAAGGGCGCCCACAGAATTTTTAAAGAATTGTTTTTGGTTTGCTGCCTATTTGGTTGCTGCTGTTGGGACCACGTTGTGAAGAATCTAAGTCTTAAGTCAAAAGTACCAGGAAGGACTCAGTAACACATAACAACATGGATGGGTATCGTAGATGGGCATCGTTTTTGAGGCCTTTTATTGTCCTCTGTGGATGATGAGCAGCATTCAGAAGGGGCTCCATTGGAAGGCTGCAACTGCTTCAAATGGCCCCATTCTTCCAAATAGGTCTACAACTAGTGGTTCATAACCTGGAGCATCAAAGCTAACCTTGCAATGCAAATATAATTACATAAAAATGAAATCTGCAATGTATGTAGTGATATATTAAAAATTATTGATATACCTGTATATTTTTAAAAAATTATACAAGATGAGGCAAAAGTAGGTTTACCGTTGTAATAAAAATAAATGATATGATTAATAAATAATAATACAAGAATAAATACTACGTTTCATGTGCTCAAAACTATAAACCTATTTTTGCCCCATCCAGCATTCATTGTTTATGGTAGCTTTCATAGCATTTTAAATGTACAGACCTCAATAAAAGTGTTTTTGCTTAAAAGAGGCAAAACTTTTGAAATGGTATTTAGTTATTATGTCAGAGAATTGTAATCTCTATTCTACTTCCTTTACCTGCAAGAGTTACAGTTTTATGTATAGGTGGCTATTTCAAAATGCAGGTGCAAATGTCTCTCGATAATCTGTCTGACCAAATCAAATATAGTATCGGTAATGAGGGTGCCAAAATACAGGAGATGTGGTGAATGTTGTATGAATGTGAACTTGTAAACAGCATGTTGCAGGTACTCAATCAATAATTTGTACAACATCACATAAACACTAGGAACCATAATGCCCATATGTCTGCTGAAGGGATCCAAAGTTTTGCCACCATAAAATGTGCCTTTTGAGATATTGATTGTAAACTGGTTATTAAGAAATGAAAGACTTAGAAAGAACCTTTGACTCTCCCTCTTTCTTGCCTAAAAACCTGCGTCTGGAAGGGAACCACAGTATAATCACCTTAGCATATTCACCTTCAACACATATGAATTAGCACATAATGAGGTAGACCAGAAGAAATCTAGCAAAGCCTGTCCTCTGTGTCCCATTGTTTTTAAATAACACAACAAGAATTTGTTTACCATATGTCTACACTATGTCTTATCTGTGAATTACTTATTTCCCCTGTGGACTCTCAGACCCTTGGCCCCTTTTTCTTTGTCCAGAATGGCATATAAGCCTCAATTGTGCAATGGGCTTCTGGTTTTGTATTTTATGACATCCATGGCCTATACACCAGTAATTATAAATTTGGACATTTTCTTTTGTTAATCTGTCTCTTTTAATTTGATTACGAACTGAGCTAAATGGATTTAGAAGGTAGGAGGAAAGTTTTCTGTTTCTGTGTGTCTGCTCTCAGAGGATCCAAACAACCAGAAGCCCAGAACCTGAGGTATTCACAAGCTGCCTCAATTCTTCTGTGGGGTCTGTAAGTAGTGAGAATTCTTTCTTGGTGACCAAAAATACCCTCACATATGTTGCTGAGAGATTATTACTGCTTAAGGAAATGCGGGCATTCAACATCCTAATGCGGTAGAGGCAACTGAATGCTGAAGAGGAGATGAGTGCAGCACAAGACAGGGGAAGAAGACAACATGGCTGAAAAGTCAGAAAACAAGAAGAAATGTAGGATAAAAAGATGCGTGGACACAACTTTTTTATATCAGTATATGGTTAAAGAGAATATGAGTAAAGGCAGAAATGGCCAAAAGACAACTTATTAATGAATAATTATTCTTTGAATAAAATCAGTTTACTCTGCTTGCCCATCTCTGTACTAACAATCATTGTACATAACAAGAATGTAAATATTAATAAAACCTAACATTTATAAAACACTTCTTGTGTGCCAAGCACAATTAATATAGGTAAAAATCAGGAACCTGAAGTTTACATAAATTTAGAAAATACCTGTAGCAAGCTATATTTTAAACATTAGAATTTCCTGATGATAGTCTAAGTGACTGCTTACTGGTTCACAGAACTTCCACTTCCTGTTTATGTTTTGTAAGTGTGATAATTGCTTAGAACTTGGTTAATAGTCAACAACATTATTAGTAGATTGTCAAACAGATATTAACATATATATTTTCTAAAAATTTATATATGCAGATATATATATGATGAATGACTATTATTTTTTCAATAACTACCTTGTTGACATTTGCAAATATATCCATTGTTGTGATCTTCACAGTTTGCACCATTTAGATATGGTGATGAAAAACATTCATTTATATTAATTTCACAAATTTGACCAGAAAATCCAGGAAGACCTCTAAGAAAGAAGTGAAAAATATAAATGACTCTATATTGTAGAGTTTATATTTACCAAATTAAGAATAACATTAAACATATGAAGTAGTCATTCATTACAGTTAATATATGAGAGATAATTTAGTTGATATTCACCAGCATTTTCAATTCACCAGTATTTTCAATTCACTAGCATTTAGTTGATATTTAATTTCACTGAAATTAAAGCCACCTGATCTTTGCAGATGTAACTATTTATGTCATTTCTAGGAAATGAATAAAATAAATGACATTAATGTGTTCACATGTTCATGTGCTTCTTCTCCTTATTTTCTCTGGTCGCACACTTTATTACCACACTACTAAAGACATTTTTAGTATTAAGTGCTGAAAAGTAATGAGTTATCAAGCTATTAAAAGACAGGAGAGAAACCGTAAATGCATGTTACTAAGTGAAAAAAGTTAATTTGAAAAGAATAAATACAGTGTGGTTTCAACTATATGACATTCTAAAAAAGGCAAAACTATGAATACAATAAAAAGATAACTCGTTGTCAGGGGTAAGAGGGAGATAGGGGATAGAAAGTCATAGCACATATTTTTTAGGGCAGTGAAAATATTTTGTATGATATTATAATGATGAATATATGTCATTATGTGTTTGTCCAAACCCATAGAATGTATAACACCAAGAGTAAGCCCTGAGGCATATTATAACATTTAGATGATTACTATGTGTCAACATAAGTTCTTTTTGGTAACAAATGTACTGTTCTTGTGAGTGATGTCATTAATGTTGCATATGCATATGTGGGGGCAGGATGTATATGAGAAATCTTTGTACCTTCTTCTCAATTGTGTTGTTAACCTAAAGCTGCTAAAAATCAGTCTTTAATACAAACCTAGTAAGATACTACTAAATCATGAATCTCTCACATTGGGCTTTTAACACAGACTTATCTACAGAATTGAGGGAAAGAGCATGAAACACAAATAGATTCTGATGCATAGCAATTAAAAACAAAAGTTATAGCAAATTTATTTAATTAGAACTCAGAATATAATTTCAGATAAATCCAACCTCATATTTCCATTTGAGTACTTGATACTAAAAAATTAGTTTAAACTCTTGTTAACAGATTGTAGAGACCATCCTTAAATGATTATTCAAGTGGGAAAGTTCTGCTTTTTCACCTGTTGGAAATAAATCGCAAATGGAATGATTCAATGTGGTTTGTAGCTATTTTGTTAACAACTTCGCCTAGATGCATTTCTGTAAGAACTATAGGGGTCACCATCCCTCCCACGCACTGTTCCTGCAAACCCTCCTCTAGATTGAAGGTCAACATTGTCCTTTTTCTTTCCAGTATCTTTACTTGTGTTTCTTTATTAGAAATAGTAAAGCATAATCTGTCTCTTATTAGTCTTGCATATGAAATTCTCTTTGGATTACCAACACCAAAGCACCATTTGGGACATTTATCAAGTTAAATTATGAAGCATGCAACAAAAAAAGTCTACAAACAACTTATTAAACAACAAAAAAATACCGTTGGTATCCTACAATTAGGATGAGAAAGACTATGTAGTATTCTAAGAATTTATTTCCATCCTACACAATCTTATTCATAAATCTTTTTCTTTTCAGTTGAAGTGTGGAAATTGAGACTTAATTCAACATACATTCATTCACTAAACTCTTATTTGACTTTGAAATATTTACTTTCTAGTTGAAAAAGAAATTAAGTTGCAATCTCTAATATTTCATTTGCTTGCGTTGATAGCATAATGTAGTTGGATGTAGGTTAAAAAATTGTTAAGGAATGAGCCACATTATAACATTTCTTTCAGTTGCAAAGCATTAACAGTAAAAATAACATCTTTAAGTGATCAGAAGCTAAAGTGTTTATTTATTATTAGGATCTTTGCTAAAGCCAATAATTCTCAAATTAGAATAGCTAAAAAGTATCACATATGTACTATAAGTCACTTCATACAGTTTCAGAATGCTCCCAGTTCTTTCCTATGATCTATTTACCTTCTTTTTTTAATAATTAATGACTATAACTATACATAATTTTACTTACTCTAGAATATACCAAAATATGAAGTGTTTATCCCTCTGAATATTAGATATGCCCTTTATTGGTAACTGATCACAGTTAGTTATGAGTAGGGAGACCCCAGTTAGGAATCCACACACCTTGAATGTAACTTCTACTTAATTTTGTTTATTTTCTTATATTTTAGTCAAAAATTCACACTTCCTGGAATTTTGGCTTATTTTCAGGTAGTAGCCAAATTATTTACATCTCACTTATCATTGTAGTCTGATCTCTTCCATATTCTGGACGACATACCAGATAAATAAAAGAACTGAAATGCCTATGTACCTGATCCAGGTCCGGGAATCCAAACATATTTACTTATATTTATATTCATGTGAATGGCTATGGATTTGCAACCTTGACTTTTTATTTTCTCTTACTGTTTCTATAGATATCTTTGTTTTGTAAACTACCAGCTTCCTGGGAAACACAACAGGAACTCAGCTGATAAATTGGAGATATCCCAGTGAGCAGGCAGAGCTAATGACTTGACGAGAACAGTCTTGATTATCCATTCTAAATATTATATCACATTATGTTACCTGTCTCACTATGTTCTGTATTATTCAAACGATCTTATTATAACTTCTAAATCTTTAAAAACACAGATATTTTAAACTCAGAATCGAAATTAGTGATGTATTTTCAAATGTGAAATTTGTGTGATAGCCTTAAGTAAATTGCATCAAGTAAACCCTAATTAATATGTAAAATAAGTGTTTTCATTAACATTGCTTAAATTATGTATCTTAAAGGTCATTTTTAATTTAACATTTTTACTTTTATTCTGAGTAATTATATTTATTATCAGTTTAATTTTACATACACATTAAGAGGAGAATATTCTCAGGAGACAATTTTTAACATAAATCTAAGTTTCTTGAGATTATTTTACAAATCAGAATATTGTCTAAATAGCTGTTAAAACTCTATAAGGACAAGTAGATTAATTTAGATAAAAGGGAAGTGATAATAACCACAACTGTCTCTGTAATTAGAAATACCAAAATCTCAAAAGGAATTCTTCTGTTAATATATATTATTTCATGCTTCAGTAAAACTTTGCTTTAAATTTTGATCTTGAGAGTATTTAAATTTCAGAGTGCTAAACTGCTTTGTCTTGGAATGTTTCATATTCCAAGAAACAGAAATATGAGACATGAATGCAAGTTGTTTATTTGGGCTTCACCAAAGTGAAGAAGTGGGGAGAATGAGACAGGGAAGAAGAAAGTCAAGTAGGACTGCATTTTTTATCTCTGCCACTATGTGCACCTGGGGCTTAGTTCAACTGTAATGGTTTTAAAACTCTTCCATAATTTTCAAAAGTCTAATTCTTCTCTCATTTGAGTGTAGGTTGTACCTAGTGATTCACTGCCCATGTGTAGAATGTGGTCGATGTGTGACTTCCTTTTCTTCTCTCTTTGATTCTCTCAGACAAGCCAGCTGCTGTGTCATGAAGATAATCAAGTCCCACTATGGAGAAGGCCCTGTGGAAAAGAAATAAAGCCCCTGACCAACAGCCAGGGTGAACTTGGAAGAGTATCTTTTAATCCAGTGTAAGAATTCAAGTGACTGTAACCCAGCTGACATCTTGATTGCAACCTAATAAGAAATCCTTAACCAGAATCACCCAGATAAGCCTCTCCTGAACTCATAAACTACAGGAACTGTGAAATACTACAGACAGTGCCTAATTTGTGATGGTTTGAATTATGATTTTTCAACTTTACAGTGTTGTCAAAATGATACACATTTAGCAGAAACTGTACTTCAAAGTTTGAATTCTGATCTTTTCCTGGACTAGTGACAATGTGTAAGATACTCTCTTCTGAGCCTATACAGCAGTAGTGGTATATATTGCCACAAGGATAAATAACCAATACTCAACAGTGTACTGTGTTGCCAGAGTTTTTGGATATTTTGCTTTGTTTTTACATCTCATTATGTCTATGTAATGATTTGTGTTTCCTGCTTCCAGCAAGGAGAAGAGGAAAGTAATTGCTCGTGTGATAAAACTCAAGATCATTGCCCAACTGTAGCCTAATGTAAGTGTTCTGAGCACATTTAAGGTAGGCTAGCCTGAGTTATGGTGTTCAGAGGTTAGGTGTATTAAATGTACTTTTTAACTTATGATATTTTTAATGTAATGGGTTAATCAGGATGTAACCCCATTGTAAGCTGAGGAATGTCTGTACATGCTTATTGTTTTCAGCCATTAGATTGTGGGGGTAATTTTTACACTGCAATAAATAACTATGCATCCATTGTGAAACTTATACAAATCTGAGAAGGAACACCAGATATTTTCCTTGGAATGTTTGAGAAAGAGAACAATTGCCCACTGACTCTTGTCTTCCTTAGTCAAGTGTTACCTCAGGGTATTAACATAGCCACATTTCTGTGCTGATTTATGAGTGGCCTATGCATACATTCAATTAGATTCTTCAGCTTCTAAAAAAGTTGATAGCATAAAAGTAGAGGCTTTTAAAGTACATTATAGTCAATATGATTAGAAACTGTCCAGCATAGCTGAGATTGGATGAACAGCAGCAAAGCATTTGCTATATAATCACCATATGTGGAGCGCCAACCAACATTGTGTTAAATAATTCCTCAAAAATGCAGAAAATAATTTAATACATTTAAACTATACTGAGATCTTATGTGTAGGGGAATGTTTTTCGACTACATTCTGCTTTTAGTAACAACTCAAAATAAAAAAAGTAGACCCTGTTCTGAGGATTATTTATAAGACATAATAAGCAAAAAAACCAGAACAACAACAACAAAAAAACTTTCACAGAGAAATAGGTTTTATGCTATATTTTTTATTTCTGTGAATAAACAGTAATTATGTGAGTAATGTTAGAATCTATTGTGGGGTTCTAAGATATATAAAAAATAAAAAGGGACT